CCCAGCTGCCCCGGTTCCCTCCCTGCAGGCTGACGCGGCCCGTCCTGCCCAGCCCACCTGTTCGCTTCTCCAAAGAGGAGAACCAGCACTTTATTTATATATATATATTGGTTTCAGAGAGGAAGGGAGAGGGAGAGAGAGAAACATCAATGATGAGAGAGAATCATTGATCTGCTGCCTCCTGCACGCCCCACACTGGGAATCAAGCCCACAAGGAGAGTGAGAGAGGGAGAAATAGAAACCTCGGTGATAAGAGAGAATCATTGGTCTACTGCCTCCTGCTCGCCCCCCACTGGGGATCGAGCCCACAACCCGGGCCTGTGCCCTGACCAGGAATCAAACCGTGACCTCCTGGTTCATAGGTCGATGCTCAACCACCGAGCCATGCCGGCAGGGCAAGAGCCAGCACTTTAACCTCAGCTCCCCGACTCGCCAATCCCGCCCCCCGGGAGTCGCTTTGGGGTGATAGTAGTGGCCCTGCCCCCTGAGTGGAGCTGCCTTAGCCCTCAGGTGGCACTGAGAGTGGCCACAGGGAAGCTCTGCAGATGCCACGTCTGCTGGGCCCTCATCTCCGCACCAGGGCTGGTCACCAGGCCCACAGAGGCCACGGGCAGAGAGGAGCTGGGTTGCCCCCAAGGCGGGATGGGCAGAGGGGCTGCCACCGAGCCTGCCGCTTCTATGAGCCCGGCCGGGGCTGGTCCGTGTTGGAGCCCTGCACCCACACCCGCCTGGGCAGGGGGTTCCGCGGGGGCCAAGGTCAGGGAAACGGACAGAAAGCGTCCGCTCTCACGTTGAGGAGGCAGGGCCCACCCGGGCGGCTGGGCTCGATGGCCCGCCTCTCAGACAGTGGGCATGTCCGATCGGCCATAACTGTTCTCTGTTTTAACACTTGGAGTGCGGGAAATGAGTTAAGTCGGCTCGCGTGAATTGCGCGTACTCCGCGGGAGCCGTCTTAAACTCGGTTCATATAGATTTGCGGTGGAGTGCGGGAAACGTGTAAACTCGGGCCGATTGTAACTGCGTATTACCAAATATTTCATTTCAATCGAACCCATACTTCAAAAGATATAGGCATTTTAACGCGCCATCTTATATTTTGGCGGGAAATTCACCCGATAAGAAACCAGAGTCTCAATGTCATGTTCGATGATGATGAATCCATTTACCTGGTCATGGGGGTGTGAGCTGCTCTTGGGAGTCCTCAGTTTCCCCCACAGGGAGGCGTGAGAAGCAAGGCAGGGTGGGAACTGGTGTCATCTGGGTCCTTCCGAGGGGTGGGTGACGTGGGGAGCCCTCGAGGGTCCTCCCGGCTCCTTCCCGTTGCTGCCACCCCGTGAGGCCCCTGCAGCCTTCCCCCACGGGGGGAGAGGGGCCCACACTAGGGGGGGGGCCCTCCCAGCTGCAGCTGAGCAGCCCCGCTGTCTCCCTTCGCAGGCATCGCCCCCAACATCACCAGGGGCCCCCTGGACAGCACGGTGATTGACGGCATGTCCGTGGTGCTGGTCTGCGAGACGTCGGGGGCCCCGAGGCCGGCCATCACCTGGCAGAAAGGTAGATGAGACTGGTCTGCTTTGGGGGGGCCGGGAGCGGGCATGGCAGTCCTCAGTGCCAGTCTGGAGCCAGCAGGTTGGGGGGGTGTCCCAGGTACAGTTGTGAAGGTCCCGCAGCACAACTCAGGGGGCGCCTGTCACACCCAAGATGAGTGACCCCCGCCCACCACCCGCCAGGCTCAGGCAC